CTCTTTGACCTGTCTGTCTCCTCTCCACCTATCTTCTCCTGTATCCAACTTCTATCCGCCTCCCCCTCTCCCCCATTTCTGAAGAAGGGTCTAGGCCCGAAACGTCAGCATTCCTGCTCGGCCTGCTGTGTTCATCCACCTCTGCACCTTGTTATCTCAGATTCTCCAGCATCCGCAATTCCTACTATCTCTGAATCAATTCTTAACTTACTGTTTTTCTGGTTGAACTATTGCAATTTTCTTCTGCTTTGGACCTGTCAATTAATAGAAAGAAGGATCATCTATTGTGTATAGATTCAATTCTTGGAGTTGCAATATGTTTTACACAACCTACACGTAAAACCAGAGATCTACCTCTGGAGAAAACAAAAGGTGGACAGTTTTGCTTTAAAAGTTCATGTGGATGAACTTGATGTTCAGCAATAAGGTTTCATCAACAATAATGAATGAGCAGCTCCACTCATATCCAGCTTGTGCCATTGACTTTAATGTTCAGTTTCTTATGACAGATATTGCATTAATTTTGTTCACACAACAAAATGAATTATACAAATATCAATATCAGTTTATAAAAAGATGCTTACGGACAACAGACAATGGCAATATCGAGGTCTATTGTTTCACCAATTTTATTCACCATCTGTGCTGTCAGATTGTTGCCCGATATCCAGTCTTGGAAGAGCTGTAATATCTTTGGTAAATATTAGAAAAAGTAAAAAGCCATCGGCCTGGATTTTCACTAAGTCAGGTTGAGTTGGGAGGTGGTTCCAATGCCGGCACTAGCCAGACTCCACCTACAATAATATTTTAGTCTCCTTATCTAAAGAATGATATACTAACATTGGAAGCACTCCACAGCAAGTTTAATAAGTTGGTGCAGTCACACAGAGATTTTTTACTCCCATGGAGGTGAGGTTGTGCCTAGGTATAGGTTGGGCCTATACTCAGTTAGAAGAATGAGAGATAATGGTTGTTGGCTTGCTCGCCGAACTGGTAAGTTTGTTTGCAAACGTTTTGTCACCATGCTAGGTAATATCATGAATGCGCCTCTGGTGAGTGTCAGTGTTCTGTCCCGCTTGCTATTTACGTGTCTTGGTTTGTTGGGGTGGGTGGTATCACTTCCAGATTTGTTTCTTAGTACATGGGGTCCAGCTCTACATGTTTGTTAATGGAGCTCTGATTTGATTGCCAGGCCTCCAGGAATTCTCGTGTGTATCTTTGCTTGGCTTGTCCTAGGATGGATACATTGTCCCAGTCAAATTGGTATCCCTCTTTGTCCATGTGTATTGAAATGAGTGATAGTTGGTCATGTTTCTTGGTAAATAGTTGATGTTCATGATTCCTGATGGCAAGTTTCCTTCCGGTATGCCCTATGTAATATTTTTGGCAATCTTTGCATGGTATCTTGTAAATAACGCTAGATCTGTTAGTTGTGGTTGTTGGATCCTTCATTCTCATCAGTAGCTGTCAGTTGTGGGCTACCATGATTCCTGGGGGGGGGGAGGGGGGGGTGGAGGTAGTGCAGGGTAATCTGATGGTCATTTCAGATATTTCCTTAATGTATGGAACTACTGTCTCTGGATGCGTTGTGCCTTCCTTTTGTGTAGGTATCAACAGGCTTTCCATCGATACCTACACAACTGACCATAACAGGTATCACATGCCCCGAGTGGAAAAATCTGGAATTATTCTTATTCTTATGCAGGTCTTGGAAGTTGAAAGCACTTCCATAATTAACTTCTTTACGCGAAACAAGCGTTTGTTTAGTGGCCTATATTTGCCAGCCTCAAAAGAGTTACTGTATATACTCGCAAAAGTTGAATTTTTTAGACTTTTTTTTTAAGGTTAAATTTATGCAGTCAATTATTACATGGATACTACTTCTGAGGGGCTGAAATTCATGCTACAGTCCAAAACACTATCATTAGCAGAAGCCCAATTGATCTCTTAACAAGAAAGAATAAAAACATGAATGAAGGTAATTACCAGATAAAGCCAATAGAAACAAAAATGAATTAGTAAGATTTTACTTATACATACAAAAAGTGAAGTAGTAATATAATATGGCTTTAAATTACAATTACATTGTACATCTTAAATTAATTATGTCAAATACAAAAGTTCATTAAAATCCTGCAAAATCACTGTTCAACATCTCCAGCACTGAATAAAGCTTCATAATCATCAGGATGAATGATATCATCGTATGGATCCTCTTCACCTTCCATAGTTAGAGGCAGCACATCCGCTTCTTCTTCTTCATCTACGTCATCCCATAGATAATCGTCTTCTGTACCATCTAATGCATTCAAACTTCCACATTTCTTGAAATGATTTGAAAATAGTGTCAGCTTTTATTTCCTGCCATGAATCAACAATCCATTCACAGATCAGTGGCAGTGATGGGGCCCGCATACTGGCTCCTTTTGTGTATTTTTTTTTCTCCATTATGCATTCAGTTATTCCACTTCATTCTCATGATGTCCGTAAATGGCTTACTGATACTGACATTCATTGGTTGCAAAGCACTTGTAAGTCGGCCGGGAATTATAGCTACGTCATTGTTATGTGATCAAACGTTATCAACAACATCCTTCACTAGATGTGATCTGATCTGGTCACAGACAAGCAAATGATTTTCCTTGCGTAGTCCACCAGGTTGTAAAATCCAAACTTCCTTTATCCATTTTCTATATCCACCTTCATTCATCCAGCCTTGTGGGTGCATATGAATGACAGTTCTTTTGGAAATTTCTCCTTTGGCAAAGTTTTTCTCTCAAAAACAGCCACCGGTTTTAACTTAGTGCCATCAGCCATATGACAAAGAACTGAAGTAAACCTACTTTTCTCATGGCCAGTGGTTTTCATCAATACATTTTTTTTCTCGTTTTGGTTCACAGTTCGATCTTCCAGCATGTCGACAGTAATAGGTGTTTCGTCCATGTTTCTAACACATGATAACTTGTCGCCTTCCTTCTGCCGATTTCTGATTACAAACTGGTGAAGCTGCAATATCTTATCTTTGAGCTCAGCAGGCAACTTTTGTGCAATCATAGTTCTCTGCCGAAGTATTCAGTCATGCCTTCTCATGGACCTTGTGCACCATCGAGCACTTGCCTTAAATCCGAAATTCCATCCTTTTATCATTCGTTTCATGCATGGATTCGGATGACTTCACGACTAACACATATTTCATTTTGATGATTTCAAGTACCCACTCAAAACATTTTTTCTCCAATTGTGGCCACTTGCTAGGTTCACCTCTGTTGGCACACTTTCGTTTTCGCATTGTCTGAAGTTGGTTCGATATCTTTCTCCAGTCTGTCAAGTTTCTCCGAAACACAAAATTCTCTTGCTGCTGCACAGTTGTTTGTCTTCTCTGCAACTTCAATTACTTTCAGTTTAAATGCTGCAATATATTGTGTTTTTTCTGGAGGACATTTTTACACAAAATGATGAAGAAATTTCAAAACCACAAATTGGTTTATGACTGTATCCCACGAATGCTCGACTCTGACTTGATGCATCTTAAACTTTCACTCCAAATTGTTCCATTTCCCTCCATTTTTTCTCAGCTACTGTTGTTTTAGTTTTTCAAACTAACATTTTAAGCTTTTATTTCTGATAAAAAACGTTAGCAGGCACTCGACTCTCATACAGTCTCACCGATCATTCCCTTATCGTAACAGTTATGTACAGAATAATACCTTGACTCACAAATGTTGATCTGTTATCGGTGAAGAACTAGGGTCAACTTTTACATGGGATATATGGAAAATTCAAGATTTTTTTGGCCAAAAATAGGGGGTCGACTTTTACGAGATCGACTTTTACTCTAGTATATATGGTATTTCCGTTCTTCTCCACAAATTGGCTATGCACCTAACTTACAATGAATTAAAGTACAATCGCTATTTTCAGTCTTTGTAAATTAACACACTGAGGTCACTTGTTTTGACTGTCTGGGCACTATTTAAAAGGAGGCGAAGAGAGTCTAATCTTTCAGCTGGAAAGCCAGCAAGAGACCCATGTTAACCCTTTTCCAAAAGTCACGCAAAATCAAGAACTCCAAAAGCAAAAACAGCACCCAACCAGCTGCTTTCAGTTCTTGACTGCTTTACATTACAAGATTCAGGATTGCTCATGGATCCAGATGCAGGTATTGTTGGGGCAGGGAAGGGCCTGGTTGTCCTCAGTCAGCCCTCTCCTGACTGATGGCGGGTCACTCAAACGACCTTTGAATATTAAATTTAAATCGCTGAGGTATCATGAATGAAATTTATCTAGTTTGGATTAATACTTACACAAAGTAAAAGAATGGATACAGAGTGTCTAAAAGACTGACAAGTTAAGTTATTATGAATTTGATATTATCTTAACAGTATGCATTTTCTTAGTAGTACTTACAGACTGCACGATATGGTGGGGTTAATGGATATCCATTTGCTTCACACCAACCAACTGGGAAAATGTCCATTGAGTCTACATCAACAATGTATTCGGGGACAGATCTCTTAGAGTCTGGAATACAGGGGATTTATATTATAAATGTAGCTGTTTTAAAAAAACATACCTGCTGCTATATTGACCTTTGATTAAGAACTTTATTTCATACCATAAAAATATTAGCAGTTTTTTTCTTTTGACTTTTACTAATTAAGAGTCTGACTATGCCTTGAAAAATATTAGAAACCTAACTGAAAACCCAGTTGCATTTAAGTAAGTCAGATGACTGAAAGCATTTGTTACCAACTTATATTTTAGCAACCAACTTGCAAGAGACCGTCTTCAAAAGCCTTGATGATATTTTCAGGCATTTCCAGTGACAAAGCATAAAATCATAAGGATAAATGAACGATGCCTGTCCAATATTTTTCATTATTTTCTCTTCTGATTTATACTTAATCTGGAGAAAATGCAGAAGTTATTTCCTTTGTAGTTTTTAATTGTACTTGTTACAGTGTGCTTTACAACCAGAATATTACAGAAGATTACTGCACAAAAACAGGTTAATTGGCCTTTTAAAACTATGCTGCAATTTGAATTTTTCTGTGAGCAATCACATAGCCCTACTGATTTTTCATACTTTTCACATTCTCTTTTTCAAACAATTATAACTTTCAATTTTAACAAGAATGTGTGGACTTTGCTTCAATAACAGTTAATGGCAGAGAATTCCAAATTCCGACCAGCTTGTTAAAGGTGTTTCTTTCAAACATGCATACTTACAATCAATTTAACACAAACTAAACTGATTCAAATACAACTCAATTCCATTCAAAGTTTGTAAATTTGGAAATTCCACTCGAGTATCGCTTGGTTCACTAAAAAAAACTACATAAATGAATAAATAACAATGAAAAGGAAAGAAATAGGAGCTTAGAGAAAATGAATGAAAATGATGAGTACTGTAAAATTCTGTCTTGCTGAAATGCGGTGCCATCTTTTCTACTCTTGAACAAAACTCACATCTGATTCATTCTTTGACGAAGGTCACACCATGATAAATGCCACTGTACCTGTCCCAGTAAGAACTGCATCTGTGCAGCTGTTTCCTTTTGTAACTCTGAACTACATGCTTGGAGGTCCACAAACATCTACAGCTCCCCACTAAGACCATGAGTAGTTTTGCATGTGATCCAAAGCGCTGGGCTGTTACTGCAACCTATGTTCCATTACTGAATGGCAAACATAGCTACAAAGAGTTGCTAACACCAACTTGTATAACTAATAAATGTAACACACTAAGTGTAAATTGCATTTTACATTAAATAAAACTGATTTTTAGTAAAACTTCATACAGAAACATGACAGGAATTTCAGAAGAAAACAGTATCATGTTAAAAAGAATTGAAATTTATAATAAATTGAAATGTAACGGATGGGATCATGATACTTGTCAGAACTGTGCAGAAAGTTACTGCTAGAGAATCATAAATAATTCTGAAATCAAAACTGAACCAGCTGTGCTGAAATGGGTTTGGTTTGAAATTTAGTTTCATGAGAAATGGCTGAGTTCACATTTATTTTTAAAAATTAAAACAAAACAAAAAAAAAGGTGGATACTTATTTCCATGAGCTAGATGCAATTTTAGTTTTCACAGTCTGAAATCAAATGAGATTTGGCTGATTTTGAATTATTTGGGCCTGGTTGCTGTGATTCTCAGTATGCAGTTGAGCAGTCAACAAAGTCTGCCAATACTGCGAGATAACCACTACAGCAAAAATCACAACACTTTTTTGTTCAGGTTAAATATGAACTTTGCTTGTCAGAAGAGAAAACATTGTATTGTGTTTGAGCAGATGTTTAAATTCATTATACCTAGATACATTCAGTTAATGTCAGGAAAAATGTTGACAATATTTATTCACTTTCAGCTATAATAATCACAAAATGTTAAATAGTTAAATCCATTCCAGTTACTGTGGAAAGAAAATAAATCTATAACTTGTATGAGGGAATATTAATATGACTCTTGCTCATGACATCAAGTTGAATTTTATTCACATTTTTATCAATATAAACGTCCATGCAATTTGCTCCGAGGATTTATTCTGCTTAATGCTAAAGCATAACATTTTTAAAGTTAAAAATGCTGTTACATCAAAATTTCAGAAATGGCACTGTACTAGAATCAGAATCATACAGTACTGAAGACAGCCTCTGGTCCACCACGTCTGCACTGTCAAAAATACCAGTTCTTCCTTTAATCAACAATATAAAAAGCGATCACAAATATTTCTGGGTACGCAGTTCAAAAAGAAACAGTTTTCTTTGGTTTCTGAATTTGTTAAGTAGTATTATTATAAATACTTCATGGACTTTTAAAGGGCTGGGACATGAATATTGAAAGAGAGGTGTATTTCATAAAGACAGAGAGAAAAAATAAGATGGTGTGATGGCCTTATGAATGAAGAATGACATTAATATGATAGTGAAAGAGATGACCTTAGTTATGAAAGGTCATGATGCAGACTCAGATATAAAAGAAGAAAAAAATATGACAAGTCCCTTTTGGGAGTTTTTATAGGTCCCCTGCTAGTAATTAGATCGTAGGCTGAGGTATACAGTTTAAAAAAAAGGCTTGTAAGAAAGATACAGTGATAATCTAATGTAGCACGTTGGTACAATTTCGATCTTGTTATTTAAGAAAGGATATAATTGCATCAGAAGCGATACAGAAAAGGTTCACTTAGCTGTTTCGTATGATGAAAGGGATACATAAGTAGGAGGAGCATGAGTAGGCAATTCAGCCCCTCAAGCCTGCTCTGCTATTCAATACAACCATGGTTGATCTCATCTTAGTCTTAACGCCACTTTTCTGCCCACTTCCCATAATCTTTCAACCTGTAACTAATTAAAAATTGGTTTGTCTCCTCCTTAAATTTACTCAATCCACCGCACTCTAGTGAGTTCCACATATTCACAACCCTTTGAAAGCAGCAGTTTCTCCTCATCTTGGTTTTACATCTGATTTCCCCTTATCCTAAAAGTCTGACCTCTCATACTAGATTGCCCACAAGAGAAAACATCTCTGAGCCTACTTTATCGTTTTCTTTTCATTTCACAGTAACTGGAATGGATTTAACTCTTAAACAGTTAATAATCATTATTGCTGTCAGTGAGCTTTGTCAAATCAGGGATGCCTTATGAGGAAAGCTTGGTCATGTTGAAGTTGCATCCATTGAAAGGTGATCTTATTGAAGTATAAAAGATCTGCAGAGGACTTGATAGAGTTTATGGTGAAAAGGATGTTTCCCCTCATGGGGAAAGATGTGGGAGAGACTAACTTGAGGACACAGTTTGAAAAAAAAAGGGATTCTCAATTAATAACCACTTAAGAGCTGCTTCCTGTAACTGTTGGAATTAACCCAATTCCAGATCAGCCTGTCAACAGCCAGCCTATAAGACTGGCCAACGACTGTGAATTATCCATCAGCTTGGGATGCTGCAGTGCCTGATCAAGGACAAGGGCATGGACATGGACATCAGGCAGGGAGGTGCCCGAGAACCAAACCTCTGTCCTTGCTTCAGATGTTCCAGGCCCCCTCTCCCTGTGGCTCCCAAGCCTAGAAACACCATCTTCCACTGATGAGTCAGTGTGGGCATCTCGCCTCCTTTTGAGCAAGTAAGGAAGATCCCCAGTGATGTACTAGTTTCTAACCACCATAAAATGGGAAGTTGTCGACGTAGCCAACTACTTTTTGATCGTGAGGGTCTAAAAATACACAGCACAAAATTTAAGAAACACCACTGAAGGAGTTAATAAAGTAATTCTTGCTATTTCCTACTGCATCTTGTATCAAAGTACCAGACAGCAATGACAGAATAAAATCATGCATGGTAAAATATGTTATCAGATTAAACAATTAAATGCCAGTCCAATTTATAAGATCTCATACTAAAATATCACATTTTCTCTCAAGAATCCTGGATAAAATCCAATGAAGCTCTGCAAAATCTAGTTTTCAGGGTGATTAAATGCTTTTTTCAAATGTTGACTTGTAATCATTATCTTTACTAAGAAATATTTGTCATTACAAGATTTAATCCTGCAATTTATTTTAAAATCACTAATACAAAATCTAATCAACATTAAATTTTAAGGTATTATACGCACATAAACCTGAACATATACTGGATCTAGTGACAACTAGAAGGTTTCGTTGTAGAGCATGAGCTCCGCTGCATATGTCATTTGACAATTACAGGTTGCCTGACTGGAAGTCAGCTGGTTGACTGCTTTGGTTTTCAGGTGACCCAGGAGCACAGTGAAGCCACTGAAGAATTAGTTAGGAAAATTCTTGATTCTTTTGTGCCATGCATCTTCTTTGCTTTAAATGAAGTGCAGCAAATATTGGAAATGTAGATGGAGGCAACTTTGAGGTTAAAATGTATACGTAAGGTACATAAATATTGTTTAGGATTTTTACTGCTTCACCTGCTAATCGATCATTTATATTTTGTAATGCTTATAAATATTCACAGTCAAGTAATTCCTTAGATCGACTGCATGAATATTTATTGAATTTAAAGCATTTCTCTTCTATCTGCAGACTTTATCCATAATACTAACCTTTTGTTGAGGGTTTTGGAAATTAAAGTTCACTTGAAGCTACTTTGTTTTATTTCTATGTCCTTGGCAATCCAAGCTAAATAAAAAATTGGTATCTATTCCTCTGATCTTTTCCATCATTTCGACAATGAAAACAAATTCTATCTTCAGAGTCATCCTTTCATATTGTAAAAATTGAAAGACATTCCCAATGATAAACAGAGGAGCTGTTTTGCCAGGCTCTCTCTGTAGTTGAAAGGGATTTCACACTGATTGGCAGCATTAGTATCCCAGCATCAAATGTCCAGATTTTGAAATGACTGTAAATTTTTTAAAGTATTGTTTTCTGATAGTGACTGCCACTTGTTTGAGAAAGAAAATATTTGTCATTTAGTCAGTGCATAATGCAACCTCTATGAGGTGTACACGCTCTGAGCTTTTAGGAGATCACTGAACAGTCCAGAAGATGAAAGTACCAGCCATAATGGTTTACAACATGTGAGAAATATTCTATGCATTTGAATTTATAGCAAGATGTTTTATTTGAGAAGATAATGAAACATGAATTGTATAAAATGCGTGTGTAATGCTGGACATTAAAGGATGATTCAAGGCATTGACCTCATTATAGGATCACAGTATAAACCATAAGACCAATCACATGCTGTAAACCACAAGACTAAAGATCAAGTGGATTATTAACAGTTTTTTGATCAGATTAGAGCCTTTTCAGGAGCAGTAGATTCCACTGCATACTAACAGTTCTGCCATTTGTCCATAATTATTGTGATGTAATATCTGAACAGATCATATATGGTTAATTACAAGATGATAACACATGAAGAGATTGTGATCGTGTAGTAATACAGAAGAGAAGATTGGATCCACACCTGTGGGGAAGTCAAGACATCCATGTCCCACCCACCAAATAATTACCACCTTTCATTCCACAACAACTCTCACATTAACCCAGTTGTTAGTGTCATCCATTGCACACCACTTCAAAGCATTGGCTGGTGACACCTTATCTTTTTAGCTTTGTAGATGCCACTGGGATATCCACAACCTCCGGGAAGAAGCAACCATCTCTGCCCAAAACCACATCTTCAGCTCTGAGGAAGAGTATTCCAAGGCTTCAGAGGATGCATCAGTAAGCCTGTCTCGTACACCACTCCATCAGCGCAGATAGTGACACCAAGATGGGACGATCAGGTTTAGAATGTTAGGGGCACAATACAGTGACCACTTCTGGATCTGCTCAAGGAAGTAAAGCTTCAAGCTGCTAGCATTGGGAGGGCTGCCGGAGACCAGACACCTGTTCAGCCCCAGGAGAGGAGAGGAGAGGATCCCGTGCTGTCAGGAGGCAGATATGAAAGAGGCAATGGTCTTTCTAGCAGAGAGTCTGCAGTAATGCAGCTACACTATAGGAACCTAAGTGACTCAAGCACGTGATTGTCTGGCTGCCTCCAAAGGCAGTCATTTCATTCCATTGGCGATGCAGGCCTGTGCCATTGAATCACACCTTCTCACATTCTATAGTTTTCACTACAACTGTGTATCCACTCCACAAAAGCAAAACTGCTCTGAAGATGTGAGGTACTCCTGTGTTTGAATGAGATTCAAAAACCTCAAGTGGTCCCGGTAACATAGGAAATAGGAACAGTAACAGGGCATCTGGCTCTTAACACCTTCTCTGCCATTCAACTGCATCACTGCCTATCTTCTAACTTTTCTAAGTGCATCTGTTCATGCAGTTTGCCATATAAATATAATTCAAATATCTTTAATGCCAGCAATTCAATGAATCATAACAACTTTGGAAATGAGTGGCTCAATTTTAACCAATTGTTCAACGGGTTTGGTTTTGGTATTGTATGCCGAACACTGTTCACGTCCTATATATTTATTACTGACATTAAAACTGGACTGTAGCTTACCAATTGAGGGTTGCATTTCTTTTAAATATAGTCTGGAACATTCAAAGCTCCGGACTGTCCCTACCCACTGTCACCACCAAAAAGTGTAGTCAGAAAACTCACCCTGAAGTTGAAGTTGAATTGATCTCAACAAAAGGCAACCGAACACAAAAGCGAACCTTAAAACGTAGGACTAGAACACAGTATTACAGTCCTATCTGAAATGTTTGTTTCCTGAACATGCTTGTTATTGCGGGTGAGTATGACTTAAGTGATCAAATCTAGAACTAAATTTACTGTCTTTACTGGCTGACTTGAACAATGATACAACAATCAATACTTTTTAAATATTTTATATTTCAAAATAATAAATATCAGTGCATGAAACTTGGCTTTCACAGTATTGGAAATACATATTTACACTAATGGACTATGAGGAGAACTGGAAAATACTCAACTGTTCGGACACTTTCTAGATTAAAAAAAATGTTTTGAACAAAGGTTTGAAGGGAACCCATGGAAATTCTTGGAAATTAGGTCAATGGTTTAACATGACTGGTTACACAAAGTCAAGTGACATTGGAAAAGGATTGTGGCAAATTTTTCATTGAGATAACCAATGAAGTTTATAGCCTTTAATTACTGGAAAACCTGACTTTGGAAGAGATTATGGTGGAGGTGCTGAGCTCATGGTTGCTGAGCAACCCTTTCTAGACTTGGTGTTTGGTTTCACAAACCTCAAGAGGTCTAAAGGAGGAGGAAACAAAATCTCCAAAGCAGCATTAGGGCTTTAAGACTTTCTCTCCACCTCTCTTGGTTGAAGTACTTGGCAACCTGATAAAGTTTCCTCACTTCAGGATTTTGATTACCTTGTAAACCCTGAAAAGCTGAACTGTGACCACTAACCAAGGATTGAATGTCCCCACCTACTTCCGTGACACCACCCACGCCCTCCACCTCCTCCAAGACTTCCAACTGCCTGGCCCCCAACACCTCATCTTCACTATGGACATCCAATCCCTGTACACTTGTAGCCCCCACGCGGATGGCCTAAAAGCCCTCCGCTTCTTCCTTTCCCACAGGCCCAACCAGACACCCTCCACCGACACCCACATCCGCTTAACCGAACTCATCCTTATCCTTAACAACTTCTCCTTTAACTCCTCCCACTTCCTACAGACTAAGGGGTGGCCATGGGAACTCACATGGGCTCAAGCTATGCCTGCCTCTCTTCCGCCGCTACACTGGCGCTATCCCCCACCTCTCCCTCTGCTACATCGACAACTATATTGGCGCTGCCTCAAGCTCCCACAAGAAGCTTGAACAGTTCATCAACTTTACTAACACCTTTCACCCCAACCTCAAGTTCACTTGGACCATCTCCGATACCTCCCTCTCCTTCCTGGACCTCTCGTCTCCATCTCTAGTGACCGCCTCAAAACCGACATCTATTTCAAGCTCACCGACTCGCACGGCTACCTAGACTACACCTCCTCTCACCCACCTTCCTGCAAGAATGCAATCCCCTACTCCCAATTCCTCCGCCACATCTGCTCCCAAAATGGGGCATTCCACTCCCGCAGATCCCAGACGTCCTCTTATTTCAAGGACCGCAACTTCCCACCTTCGGTGGTTCAAAATGCTCTCAACCCCATCTATTCCGTTTCCTGCACCTCTGCCCTCACATCCCCTCCCCACAATAAAATAAAGACAGAATCCCCCCTTATCCTCATATGTCACCCCACCAACCTCCGCATCCAACGTAACATTCTCCGCCACTTCCACCACCTGCAATCTGACCCCACTACAAAGGATATATTTCCCTCCCCACCCTTATCTGCCTTCCGGAGGGAAGGCTCTCTCCACGACTCCTTCATCCACTCCACACTCGCCACTAGCCGCACCACCTACGGCACCTTTCCCTGCAACCACAGGAAGTGCTACACCTGCCTCTACACCTCCCCCCTCACCTCCATTCAAGGCACTCAACAAACCTTCCACATTAGACAGAGGTCTATTGCATCCGCTGCTCCCGATGTGGCCTCCTCTACATCGGTGAGACGAAGCAGAGGCTCAGAGACCGCTTTGTAGAGTGCCTGTGCTCTGTTCATGACAAAACCCCCCTCCCACTCCCTTGGTGACACGTCCATCCTGGGCCTCCTCCAGTGTCACAATGATGCCACCTGTAAACTGGAGGAGCAGCACCTCATATTCCGCCTCAGGAGCCTACGGCCCAATGGCATAAATGTGTATTTTACCAGTTTCAAAATCTCCCCACCCCCGGGCCTCATCCCACGACCAACCCTCCCTCTCAACCTCGCCTCCTTGACCTGACACAACTTGTCCATCTTGTCTCCCACCTATCTGCTCCTCCCACCTCACTGATCAATCCCCGCCACTCCCTACCTGCACTCACCTATCACCATCCCACCAAGCTTCGCCAGCCCCAGCCCCAGCCCTCCTCTCTATCTATTTCCCAGCTCCCTTCCCCCTCCCCATTTCTGAAGAAGGGTCCCGACCTGAAACGTCAACTTTCCTGCTCCTCTGACGCTGCCTGACCTGCTATGTTCCTCCAGCTCCACACCGTGTTATCTTTGAATCCAGCATGATTTCCACCTGAAGTAAAGCCCTGTTTGAAAGGTATTCCATTTGTCTAGGAGTGTCAGCAGTTTGATTTTGTCAACCAGAGACCCGGTGGACTGAGAGAAGTCTTCACACCATTAGCCAATAAAGGGTGTTTTGCTTTCACGCTTTTAAAAATAGAACACAATTTGTTTGCTTTGGGATGGAAAAAAGAAATAGTTCTAATCCAATGTTATATTTTAGACAGAGACAAGATGTAAGACTGGTTTTGAAAAATAAATTATTTAAAAATGTATTGATTGTTGTATCATTGTTCAAGTCAGTCAGTAAAGACAGTAAATTTAATTCCAGATTCTATATGATATACTGATCATTTTAAATGCAAAGCCTACAGAAGCCTGGTGCAAGTGTATTTTACTAAAAGAGAACCGCTTAGTAGTTTTGATGATTGAATCAAACCCTTTGTAGTAAGGGTGTGACTTGAGAAGTAACAGGGTTTCGTTACCAATGTACTCCTCCTATCATACTCATAACAATTTACCAAACAGAGCCATGTCATAAGACAAAGCTAGAGAAGTTTCAACAAGTCTGTTTTCGATTCATCTTACCTTCAAGGTGAAGCCACATTAATCGACCTTTTACTTTCGTGATTGAAGCAACACATATTTCTGCCATGTTACTGAGGGAAACAGCCTCCAACTTCATATTTTTGGTAAAACCTCGACTGAGTGAAGTCTGAAAAAAAGAACAGAAAATACTACAAGAACATTTTGCATTAACAGGAGGTGATGTTTTAAAATAAGAAAAACACCCTGCCATGTTACATGGGGCTGAATTTCCCAGTGACTGAATTACATCAGCATTGACACAAAAGGTGAGAAAATCATGTGAGATTGGCCATAAGATGATCCAATACAGAGCAAAAAGTCGCATTTCCCAACCAATTGTTGAATAGTGAGATGGTCTTCCAATAGTGAGAGGCCTACTTGCATGCATTAACATCCTATTTTTAGTTAATCTTGCCTCAGTTTCCCACCGCCGCATAGAGACAAAACCAAGACAATTCCTGAGATGAACGTCAGAGCAATAACTTGTAAATTCCAGCTTGCCACTTCTTCCTCTAGCTCTCAATGTCTCAGGCCCACTCCATAGGCACTGCCTGCACGCACCTCCCATTCACCAGGACCTCCTACTCCCTGTTGGAAAAGCAGGGCTCCAATTTCCTGCTGCCCGACATATGTGGGCAATTGACAGAAAACATTAAAGACAGCTCCAGACAGCCAGCATCTGACCAAGAGCATGGCTGAGTTCAAAAATGGCACTACTGCCAGAAATCTTGGGAGGTCCTGGCATTGCTGAGTACTGCTGCCTCTTGCAAGTGGGAGGATACAACAACTAAAGCGATATAGGGGCATTCTGCATAGGTCATGAGGCTGGTTTGGAAAGACCGATCAGAAATCTCGCTTAGGCCCATAGACAGAAGTCCTCCATAAAACTTGCCAAAATTGGTACTTAGAATCGTAGAATCCCTACGGTGTGGAAGCAGGCCATTTGGCCCATTGGGTCCTCACTGACCCTCCTAAGAGCATTTGACCCAGACCACATCCCCAATCCTACCCCTGTCACCCTGCATTTCTCATGGCTAATTCACCTAGCATACACTACAGGCAATTTAGCATGGCCAATCCACCTAATCTGCATATGTTTGGACAGGGGGAGGAAAACAGAGCACCCAGAGGAAACACAGACACAGGGAGAGTGCGCAAAGTCTACACAGACAGTCACTTGAGGGTGGAACTGAATGCAGGTCCCTGGCACTGTGACGTAGCCGTGTTAACCACTGAGCCACCATGCCACCCTCCTTAGCCGAGTCCTGGTAAAATTCAGCCCTCAATCTTTTGCAGTCAAAAATTCTCACATTATAGTGTGCTATCATGAATGTTCTGAAACAGTGCAAAAGTAATGCGATAATCATCACAGCCAAAATTCAATAGCTTTATAGCAGAGCCTTATAATTAGATGCTGTGTGAATCCTTAATGTAATCAGGTTTTGAAAAGATGCTCAAAATGTGATTAAATTAAGAATGCTATTTAATCAAAGGATTGAGAGGGAAACCAAAATAATTCTGCAGAAAGATACATAAATGAAGAGTTTAATGATATTTAATTAAACAGTCAAAGATTTCACTAAGCCAGAAAACATTGCATATAAATCAATATTCTGCCCTTAAAGTGAGGCAACTTGATTATTTTTCCAAAGGTTAAATCTATCCTAATAGAAGTCAGAGGGTATTAAAAGAGTTCTGAAACATTCAAGATAAAGTTTCATTATAATTATACCAGTAATGGAATTCAAATATCACATGAATTGGTTAGAACCAAGTTAATTTTATAACATATGATTATTCATTAGTTTGCTACCTTCCTTTATGTTAAAGTAATAAAGGTCTTCTCTTATGTCAAGACTGTCAGAAAGACCAATGCCTCGAAAATCAGTTTAAATCACTTCTCCACAATTTCAAAATTTTCACTTCTAACTTTCAACCCACTTACACTTGTACTGAAACCCAAGTGCCAAAATTGAAGGTTGCTCACCTAGCAAAAATACTCCAACTACTAGGCAACAAGTCTTATGTACAACTGTGTAGGTGTTTACTGCTAGTTTGCCAATAGTTCAGACGTATTAAAAGGATCAGGGCAGACACATTCAAGAGAGCAGATTTTGCTCCCTAACACAAAGTCATTCATCATCCTGGTACGGTAAATGCAGTTTCCTTTAAAAACTTCTAATGTCGCACAAAAGAAACCATTTGCTTATCTTTAACGGTTTTAAATGTCTGAAGGTAACCCACCAAAAAAATCAATATCACAGCAAAAATTTGTGTGTCTGTGTCACTTCGCATCGAATAGCATCAAATGACTTGTAACACTTTGTTGCATATCCAATCAGAAACTGAACAGCATGTTGCACTATGTCCAAAAAGACATGTAATTAATACATCTTTGTAACAGAATCAAGCCATGCCTTTGAGCTGGTTAATGCATATTGAAAATATTTAGATAAACACAACAGATAAAATCATGTTAAAATTTTAACGTAGATCATAAATGCTTCTTTAAAAAGAAATGCACCTGAAATGTACATGTCAAGCTACAACAAACGAAAAGCACATCTTTCTAAAGGCACTTAAATATTCATGCCCTGCTAGAAAAATGATGCTGAACTCGAGTTCTGTGGTCTTACAGCACACAAAACAACAGGTCAGCCTTAAATGTACAGGAGTCAATTCTTTTCTAAAACAGAATTTCCATCTAGAAATCAGCTTCATTGAGAGACTTGGCTCCTAGCTGGGCAGGGAGCTCTGTAATGGAAATGGCAACCCAGATGCAACTTGGTCCCTGTCTCACATGTTAGATGAGTGAAAATGGAGTGTCTTGTTGACTGGGGTGTTCATGGTTTCCACGATAGGGGAGCAGAGATAAATCTGTGATTTGTGATTGTGGAAGGGCATCTGATCATCAGGTGCAAAGTAATCCAACAGAGGGAGAAGCAGTTCTGCCTTGTCTACTCACACGTAGCATTGAAAAGGGCTTGTCTTTCAGAAATAGAATTCCTAGTTCTGCTTTAGGCTACAAAGCACAGGCTGCCCATCCAGTCAAAGCTAAATTATAATGGAGCTGAACTTATTTTACGTATTTTAACATTTAACTTTTTAAATTGGCCTACCCGACTCACTCACTGTCTGTTAAAACCAAAAATGGGCATTGAGATTTGAAGAGTTGATTTGAATTGAGATCTTTAAACTTTGATATCATACCCATTTCTGAAGAAGGGTCCAGGCCCGAAACGTCAGACTTCCTGCTCCTCTGATGCTGCTTGGCCTGCTGTGTTCATCCAGCTCTACACCTTGTTATCTCAGATTCTCCAGCATCTGCAGTTCCTACTATCTCTGGATATCCATTGCCCCACTGCAAACCTTCGATGTGCTTAATTGCAGTGTCAAGCTTGCCAGGTGAACAAATGGCTAGGCTCCTACTTACAAGATTGCTAATGGGTCAGTCTGCAGTGGATCATATAAACCCTGATGTGTACATTAACTGGTACAGTAAGGTATGCAATAGACAATTGTGGGGAACACATTACCAAATTTCTTTGTCTACTGCAAGTTTTGAAAAAGGAGATACATAAGATAGAAGCAGGAAATGGATGCTTTCAGAAGTGATGAGACACAAACTGTTTGACAGTCGGGAGGGCAGAGTATCAGCTGTTGAAAGATCACAGAATTAACCTATGCTTTGTAACTGTGCAATATTGTTGGAAGATTTCAACAATTGATAAATCAGGCCCCAGCTGAGATCAAACAATGTGAAATACTATGCTGAAAAGTGAATGAGAAATTTGACAACCTTTAGGAGTTGAGCAAAGAGGGAATGATCACAAATTCTTAGAGTGCCTTTGGTAACTCATTCTGACAGCTGGACTATCTGACCAAATGGCAACAGATAATACTTCGATCACTCTGTTTCTGTTGATGTGTTTCATTTCCATACAATGCGTACTTGTGTACTTTACACATTAATTCTGAATGTTAACTCTACCAGGTTACAAAAATTAAATCATATGTGGGGTGAATAGAGCAGACAAGTGAACATATTTCCAGGAATTTTTAATTTACGAGGTAAATGGATACTTGAATATGCTGCTGATGTTTCTCCTTTTATTTCTCTGTCATTATTGGCAAACATGTCCATCCTCTACTCATTGAAAAGGTTTGTCAAGAATAGAGATTTGATGTGCAGGGAGTTGTACCTAATTTCTTTGCATTAACAAGATTGGCATATTATTTAATTTCCCATCGATTTTAAATTAACTTAAAGAAATTTTTTCTGCTTGAAGGAAAACACTGAATTAATTTAGTGTTATGATATTTAACACAGTCAGTGGAGACGAGAGATATATTGTGAGGGCTGTTTTAACCTGACAGACAGGTAGGTTTGGGTTGGGTATGATATCAAAATTTAAAAATCTCAATTCAAATCAACTCTTCAAATCTCAATGCCCATTTTTGGTTTTAACAGACAGTGAGTGAGTTGGGTAGGCCAATTTAAAAAGTTAAATGTTAAAATACGTAAAATAAGTTCAGCTCCATTATAATTTAGCTTTGACTGGATGGGCAGCCTGTGCTTTGTAGCCTAAAGCAGAACTAGGAATTCTATTTCTGAAAGACAAGCCCTTTTCAATGCTACGTGTGAGTAGACAAGGCAGAACTGCTTCTCCCTCTGTTGGATTACTTTGCACCTGATGATCAGATGCCCTTCCACAATCACAAATCACAGATTTATCTCTGCTCCCCTATCGTGGAAACCATGAACACCCCAGTCAACAAGACACTCCATTTTCACTCATCTAACATGTGAGACAGGGACCAAGTTGCATCTGGGTTGCCATTTCCATTACAGAGCTCCCTGCCCAGCTAGGAGCCAAGTCTCTCAATGAAGCTGATTTCTAGATGGAAATTCTGTTTTAGAAAAGAATTGACTCCTGTACATTTAAGGCTGACCTGTTGTTTTGTGTGCTGTAAGACCACAGAACTCGAGTTCAGCATCATTTTTCTAGCAGGGCATGAATATTTAAGTGCCTTTAGAAAGATGTGCTTTTCGTTTGTTGTAGCTTGACATGTACATTTCAGGTGCATTTCTTTTTAAAGAAGCTTTATGATCTACGTTAAAATTTTAACATGATTTTATCTGTTGTGTTTATCTAAATATTTTCAATATGCATTAACCAGCTCAAAGGCATGGCTTGATTCTGTCACAAAGATGTATTAATTACATGTCTTTTTGGACATAGTGCAACATACTGTTCAGTTTCTGATTGGATATGCAATAAAGTGTTACAAGTCATTTGATGCTATTCGATGCAAAGTGACACAGACACACACAAATTTTTGCTGTGATTTTGATTTTTTTTGGTGGGTTACCTTCAGACATTTAAAACCGTTAAAGATAAGCAAATGGTTTCTTTTGTGCGACATTAGAAGTTTTTAAAGGAAACTGCATTTACCGTACCAGGATGATGAATGTCTTTGAAACATTTGTGTTAGGGAACAAAATCTGCTCTCTTGAATGTGTCTGTCCTGATCCTTTTAATACATCTGAACTATTGGCAAACTAGCAGTAAACACCTACACAGTTGTACATAAAACTTGTTGCCTAGTAGTTGGAGTATTTTTGCTAGGTGAGCAACCTTCAAATTTCTGAAGGAGGGTCCAGGCCCGAAACGTCAGCCTTCCTGCTCCTCTGATGCTGTTTGGCCTGCTGTGTTCATCCAGCTCTACACCTTGTTATCTCAATGGATATCCAGTTCAGATAATTTTCAGGACAACACATCTTGCAAATGAGCCAAATGCTACTACTTTCAGATTGAAAGTTGCCCACATTCTCTCAAAACTATGCTTGAATGGCAAAGATGCCCGCCCCCCCCCCACCAAAAAAAAGAAAGATCGACAGGTTAAGCAAGCAGTTTCACACCGCTGCATACAGTTGCTACTCAAGTGGCATTTTCCATTAAACAGGATGCTGCCATCAGCCTAAAAAGATGCTCTGCTGCCACACATCTGAACAACATCATGTATGAATTTTATTGCTGGTGTGATTCCTGGTTCTTCCAGTATTTAAATCAAATAGCATGTTCCAACAAAGTGCGAACTATACTGAACCAAAACAAATTGTCTGTTGTTAGATGTGATTCCATGATTGGGCAACACTTGCTGAACAATCCTTACGGCACTAGTAGCTATTTTAAATTGGTTGGCAGTGTAATCAGCTGAACTTATAATATGGTTCATTTAGGCTTACTTGAAGTGAAATACATTCATCTGCCAGGACATATCCTCTGCAAATAAAAGGAATATATTCAAGCCTTGCAACTTTTTTTGAATTATTTAGGACCTCGGTAAACCTATAATTTCCAATTGTCTTTGTGGCAATGTCTCATCTAATTAGAGTCAATTTGCCAACTAATGAGCCCCCTTTTCTCTTGTCGTGTCAACTGCTGAGATTGTTTAAAATTTGATATTCCTGTAATTGTCCCAATTAGCGCAAGCTGAAAACCTTCAGTAACATGTCTCAAACTCATACTGTTACCTGCGTGTTGCCTGTAGTTTAAATTCAAGAGCTCCTAGAACAATTTTAGCACTAATTTAGCAAAAAAAAGCCTGCAAGATTATATTTACATAATATCTACTTTAGTCAAAAAACATTTGATGAAATTAATCGCAGCTACATAAATTTTTACACGACCATATGCCTGAAGCAATGAAAGGTTTATTCAACAGCATTGATAGAAATGAAAGTGCAACTTACATTTCTGAAGCAGTACTGAGAAAGTGTCTCTGCCCCACACTGTTTAAGATAATCAGCCCAGTCAAAGTCTAAGCCAGGATATCCTGCAATATTACAAGACAAAAATATGAGCAAAAATGACCCAGCACATTTTCCTTCTCTTTTCCTTCTAGTGCTAGTGTAAACATGGTAGCATTCTTCTCTACCTCCCTGTGGCCTTTATAAATGTTTGACTCCAGGTAGTGAGCAATTACCATATTTACATAATTGCTATATGGTGGCACTGTGGTATTGTCACTGGATTAGTAATTCAGGGCCCAGGTTAGTGCTCACTGGACATGGGTTTAAATCTCACCAGGGCACCTAGTATAATTTAAATTCAATTCCTAAATCTGGAAAACGTTAGTCTCAGCAATGGCAACAATCATCAATTGTTGTAGAAACCTACCTCATTCACTAATGTTGTTTAGGGAAGGAAAACTGTCATTATTTTCTGGTCTGTCTTATATTTGACTCCAGAGACATACCAAATTGGTTAACTCTTAACTACCACTGGAATGCTACAGCAAAGGCAATTAAGAAAGGGCAACAAATGTTCAGCTTGCTGGTGAAGCCCACATCCCATAAAAAGTAAGGAAGAAAGCTGCGACAGCGTGGAAGGGTTGTGTCTTTTGGGTTCTTGCCAGGTTCTCGGTACCTGGCTTACCAAGAAAAATGCATGCCAGCTTCTTTAGTGGCAGAAGCTAGGTTCACCTGAATGTTTAACTCCACATGCACATGATCTTACGGATTGATTTCCGTCCTGAAGCTTGACTGGGGTTTGGGCAATGAAGGCTGCAGGATCATGTCCCCTCCAAGGGCACAGAAGTAGTTAAGGCTTTGGTGGGGTGTGGGTAGGGAGGATCCACATTGGAGAGCTGGAGTGGGGATATTGAAATTGAAGACCTCACAGGAAAGGTTGTTGACGAAGTAACTGGTGATTCTGCTGACTGGGTTCACTCAGGCAGGCATTACCGGTTCCAGGGTCAACCATAATTTTGCCTGGATATAACTGCCAGGTTTCACATGCTCAAGAAACAAGTCCATTATGCTCAGATTGGAAAAATTGAACTACAAGGCTCATACTCTTGCAATAATTAAAGAGCCAACTCATCTGCTCGCACTCGCCCAGCTCCCCATCACAGTTAAAGCTGGAAGCTGGCAGGTTGGAAGCAGACAAGGGTTAGGACTCTGATCTTTAAGACTTTAACCTGCCATCGACTCAAACCCATGCTTTTGTTTTAATTAAAAGTTCCACCCTAAACTTGCAGAATTATGCGAACTAGAAAGCTCTAGTTGAGAAATTACTCATTTAGTTTCTGATTGCAACCAAATACAAGGTATTAAGCAAGAAATTCATAAGTCTGATATAAATTTTGGTCAGCTTAGAAGAACTGCACAGTGAAATTGGACAAATGACCATGCAAAACCTTCATGCTTCCTGATAGACACTGAACAATCCTCCATAACTTAAACTGGTTATTCACGCTTTAAAATTAAGTTACACGTTAATCCAGGTTTGTTTCCTGAAAGTTAAATATCAGAGTTCAATGGTTCAATAAATTATAGAGACTTAGTACTTCATTTTGGAAGTCACACGCATACTTCATACAGAAAATGTGGTGTCACACGCAAAACAATTTTCTGACTGCATTTTGAGTGAGTAATTTCTTATTCTGAATTCCACATGCTGAGTGCCATTTCCCCACCATGAACATAAATGGTTGTAAAACAAATGTAGTCAAATTTCTAGTATGGGTCCCTTCAGACCTAGGCTGCTCATAGGATTACAACGTTGAATGTCTCTAAAGTTGAGCAAAATTTCAAACTAATAACTTTGAGTGGCCTGCTAGCAGGTAACCACAGTACAGGAAGTGTCATTTGCTTATCTTCTTTGAGTTAAGAATAATACGTAACAAATAATTCTGAAACTTGTAGAGAAATAATGTTCCCATTTTGTAAGATTTTAAATGCAGGTTAAAAAGTGATATCAGCATACTACGTAAATTATTACAATACAACTTACTCAAGAAAATTATAAATTCATAAGTTATCAAACTTCCACATATGTCTATGGCTCTGCTTTCATTACTGTTGCTATGCAACAGCCAGGCATGAACAATGTTGAAACACTATAAAGTTTAAACTGAAATGAAATTGGTATTTTGCTGGATTAATTTTTTACTAAAATTCTTTGATGTCAAAAAACTGCATTTTGTTTCTTTATGTTTCAAACAGATACAAACCCTTGGGTGGAGTGAGATGGACCCCATTTTTAAGGCACCATTGAACAGGAAGGATTCCTGGTGAATCAGCATGGCAAAGAACAGAGTTTTCACGAGCATCTGGCCTCAAATCATCAATTGTGATCATAAAATACTGGTCATTAAAAACCTGTTAAGAATAAGAACATAACATACATCCAATATTTTATTTGACATTAATACAAGTGCTCAAAACTGATAAAAGTTTTTAGAAATAATCACTTGCAATTTTTTTTACATGCTAATATACATTTAACACAGCTTCAATGATCCCTTAAAAGTTCAGAAAATTAATGTAGGTATTAACGGTAATTAAAGGGAACTTACTATTTATTTTACTTTTTAAAATGGAGCAATAAAAATGCCAAATTAGAAGAAATGTTTCCTTCTAAAACTGAAATATCCAAAATGGCTTACTCCAGAATTTAGATATATCTCGTCTGCTTCGGCAGCAAATATAAAATATTTCTCAAAATGATTTTAGGAACTTTGAACAATAGAATATCCAAATAATAAATTGTGATACAACATATCAAATATTTTCATTCTCAATTGCATTTCCAAAGGATAGTCAGATTAAACTATGAAGTCTTTTGTACTCACCTTGGTTACTGTGGCAGGACAGATAGAAAAGGGCTCTCTTGGATCTACTGCCTCCAACTTCATGCCAGCTGTGAAGCAATGAGTCCTCAGATCAGATTGGTCCTGCATTTAGAAAAGATTAATAATGAAACCTGGATCTTCTACAACACGAATACAAGGACTTGAAAATGACGGACAACAGGTGTAGAATTTTGGATCAGAGATAGTAGGAACTACAGATGCTGGAGAATCCAAGACAACAAGGTGCAGGGCTGGATGAACACAGCAGGCCAAGCAGCAT